AGGCATAAAGTATGGCATGCCAAGATGGTTTCTGCCAAGGAGCCAGCGATCGCGATGTCCTCGGGGCTCTGCATCACTTTCGTGCGCTTCCTGTGCCTGGCGGCGTGGTGAGTATCCGCGGAGCCCTGCCCGGCCCGGCCCTGCCCTGCCCTCGTGGGGGGAGCCCAGCTTGGCCGCAGTCCCTGGCTGCTGCAGCCCTTCCCTTCTCTTCCCTTACTCCCCCCCCCCATTGGCATCAATAACCCTCCTGCCTTGCCGCCCCTCCGGCAGCCTCAGCGACCCCCCGGGACAGACCAAAAAAGAGGAGAAATTGTGGCCGGAGAATTTTACCAGCATCCTGAACAGTCTCCTGGACGGTTATGACAACAGGCTGCGCCCTGGATTTGGGGGTATGGTTACTGTGCACGCTCCCTCCTGTCTGTCAGTCTGCCTGTGTGTCTGTCTGTGGGCATGACTAGGTACGGCTTCCTGTGCTTCCTTCTGTTTTTCGAGTCATGGTTGTGATTGTTTTGTGGGGAATTAGGATGTGGCGGCCCCCCTCCTCCTTCTGGCCCCTTTCCTCCCTCCCTGAAATATTGCCACTGACTCTGTGGGTGGGAGAACAGGGGGGTGAGGTACAAGCTGGCTCGGGCAGGTCCTGCCCTTTGTTGCAGCCCCCTACCGCCAAAACATGGGTGTAAATCTCCTGCTGCAGCAGGAATCGGGTGCACCCCGGTGGGATAGTGCCAGGTGCAGCAAGGACCCGGGTCCTGCCGGTGTTTGGACCGGCATCCCCAGACTGGGCTCAAACGCTGCTCCTCCAGCCATGGCGAACGCTCGTAGCAACTCCAAGCGTGCCAAAAAATATCTAGTGCCAGGTTAAGGGAAACTCAGGTCTTTAACCTGTTTCTGCTCCTTTTTTAGTCCCCTTTCCCAGAGCCACTGTTTAAATAGAGAGAAGGTTTAGCTGTTCTTGCTGCCCTATAAATATCTGGAGCCCAAAGCATGTCGGCAGAACTAGGCTGCAAGAGATCTCTAGTACCGGATTTCTCTTGCGTGTTGGCAGGTTTTGGTACGATGTAAATACAAACGAGTGTCGCTACTCCTACTTCACTGACAGATCTGGTCTCTGATGCCTCCTGTCCCAGTGGTACTGGCAAAATATAGCTCTAGTGCTTGGACCCTGTCATCCCAGTTCTTCACATTCTGCCTTGTTTTTATAATCAGGGCACTTGTGCTCTACTTAGGAATCAGCAGTTGAGGGCTTGGGGCAAAAATTCTGCTGGATCTGTGTATCAGAGCCAGGTTTTTGTTTAACTACTGTACGCAGCTACGTCAGGGTCTGGTTTTGATGTTCTGCAAGTGGGTAAACTTAATGTCCTCTCACTCTTGGTGGTGCAGTTTGTGGGTTGGGACCAAAAATCATCAGGATCTAGTTAAATCCAGCTTTCACTTGATTTCTGGAATTAAAGTGTTTACAGTGCAGGAGGCTGCAACCCCTCAAACTCACAGTTTTCTGGTGATGCACCAGGCAAATGAAGACATTCATGGGGCCAGTTGCCTGCAGGGTTGAATGAGGGCTTTCTGTAAGTTTTATTTTATGAAACAATTTGCTCTTAGTACCTTCTAAAATAATTTCTTCCTACATGTGATACATATACACTGACATATAGCCCAACACATTCTGCACACATGTCAGAAGCAGTGCTCACATGCATGCCCTTACCATAAATGGACAACCTCGTTAGTGCTATTCATCAGTTTCTGCTTATTTTAGATGTTCTTTCCTTTATAGGTTAGGCTTTCTATAAACTAGATGCAAGGACATTCAGTGGAAATGAAGCTAACCCTATTAAAGCACCTGTGAGAATAATTTACCCAGATGGTCTTTTGCAGTTTGACTCTCCTAAAGACAAATTACAGACTCTTCTGCATGTGTACAGATTTCTTTCTGAGGGATGTGCTATGTAGAGTCTGCATTATTTTGTTTGAATGCTTAGCTATTAAACACATAGAAAAAAATGCTCTGAATGCACTATCAGAATTTCTAAATGCCCAGAAAATGACAGATCTTCATACTGTTTGTGGAGATTCTGTATTTACCCAACAGCCATTTGCAGACTATTGTTTTTCAAAAAAAAAATTCATATTTACAGAGTTAAATTCCTGTTGAAAAAAAGTAGTATTGTAGCCTCTTGCATTCTACCAGCTATGATATTTAAATGAATAGTTTAGGAAGACAGAAAAATCAATGTTCTGGTGGATATTTTAATCATAAATACTAGAGTGGTTCTTTTTCTTTTTTATATCTAATTTTAAAACTCAAAGGTCAATGGTTTAAAATGTTATAAGTACTATATGAAAAACATGCTCTCTCAGTTTTCTTAAGAAGGTGTCTGGAATCTAAGCTCATTGTTGCAAAAGTTACCTTCACCTGAATTGGTAAAAGCAGATTTTAACAAAAAGCAATGCTCAGATTTGATTCCATGATAGAACGTAGACTAATGGCAGTTGATTAATCATTAAAAAGTTTGCTATTCAAAACACGTTTTTTTCATTGTGTTTGGATCACTTGCTGAAAATATATATGGTGAATGGGGCTCCACATATTTAAAAATGGGTCATTCACCAGTAAATGCGCAATAAATAGATGTCATACAGGAGAAGCAGTATTCACACTGAGGAGTACAGTATGTTTCAGCAGTGTTAAAGTCATGTTACATACTGATAGGGAGCAGAAGTCACTGCTGAAGCTAATTCACCATTCAGAACGCGTGAGACTCCAAACAAGGCACAGGGTCTTATTTTAAGAACAAAAGGCTCTGCACAGATCTCACTAGCACTGATTTTCAAACCCCAAATTTAATGAAAATATTTCTGATTCTCACTTGTGCAGGGAGCAAGCCAAGCTGATTTTTTTTTCTGGTATACATCAGCTTTTCTGCAAATAACACTTTGTAAAAAATTATGCTTGAAGAGCAAAAAGGAAAAAATACAGCTTTTTGATGATTTTCTGAAAATGTTCTAATTCCAGCTTTCAATAAACTGTATGGAAAAGTACCCATTGACTTCAGTAGGAATTGGATTAGGCCTGATATGGCTCCAAACTCCCCAAATTAGCATTAATTAGCACAGTTGTTGGTAGTTACAGAAGAGAAGCCAAGTACTGACTTGAGCATAGACACACTATTGCTCTCTCTCGCTTAGAAGTGGTCCTGAAGAGGCCTGAACATCATTTGCAGCTGGATGTGGGAAACTTCATTATTGTCTAGGCTGTTTCTTGAGAATAAGTGGGACTATCGCTTCTTTAATGCCGTCTGGCTGGCACTTTTCGTTAGTGACAAACTCACCTTACAAAACAAAACAAAAAATTAAACTGGATACCAAGCATTGTGCATTTGGCAGATTTCATAAAGAAAAATAGAAACATTATTGAAAAAAGCCACAACTTTTATTAAATATTTTATACACTTACAGAGCTATTTCCAGAACAGACATTAATTTATCTATTTAAAAAAATGATCCAGAAAAAATACCTAAGAAATCAAAACAGATTTGAAAGACAGCTTTAATTTGACTTCATAACTTTCTTCCACAAAACTGACCTTTCCAGTTTTTTTAAGTGCAGTCAGGATTATTTGAATTGTAGTGTGTTTAGGAAGATAATCAGGAGGCATTTCAGTGGTGGGAAATTACATTGCAGCAAATGAATAAAGTGAGATTTGCAAGCATGGTGAGGTAAGACGCAAGTCAATTACACTTCCTGCACTTCATATTCCATTATACCATTACACTGAACTTCAGTATTCTCATTACAGTTTATAGTACATGTTGATTTCCAAATCAAAATGATTCTACAGTACATTGGATCGTGTGACTATGGTGTTTATGGTAAATACCTGTAATATGGTTAAGAGAACAGAGGTATATAAAATACTTTTTTACTTTATCGGTTGTAAAATTGCAAAGTGTTTGTTGCTTATTCTGTCTCAACATTTCAGAAGAAAATGGTGTATTTAATTCTAGCTGCAATGTCAATTCAAATTTTTTCCCCTATTAATTGCCTTTATTTTATCATAGAAAAGATGGAGAGCAAGTTATAGCACCCATGTTTTCTCTGAAAAATGATCTTTTCCATATTTCATTTCTATATTGTGCTAACTTAAGGTGAAGCTAAGGATGGTTGTTAAAGGATAATATTTATTCGATATGGGGCCTGATTCTGATTTGGCATTGGTTTTACATTTATGTAGCTCCCTTGACTTTAATGGAGTTACTTCTTCTGATTAACAACAGTGCAAGTGAGATCAGTACTAGGTGTATATATTACCATACATAATATATATATGCTTTTGGATATGCTTATTTCTTTAATACTTGCATGGTACCATATTACTTCTTGCTTTGAGAGCTAAATACATTTAGCCTGCTTAAGTGAGAGGTATATGATTACTGAATTGAGTAGGAGCAGGGTCAGTTTGCTATGTGTTGTATGTATGCCTGCTAGTTTTGAAGTGTTGACCAAATAAACTCTAAGGCCGCGTCCATACAAGCAAGCACGTGTCAGTTGCTGTGTCTCAAAGCGGTTTGAGATGCCGCAGGAGGCACACCATGAGTGAAAAAATGTTCCCCATACTGCAAATATGCAGCCTGGACTAAGTTTGATACCAGGGAATACTGGTATCAGAAGAAAACATGCCAGAAAAAAGCGGTGCAGGGTATGCTTCTGGAGCATGCCCTGAAGCAACTGGAGACTGAGGCCTCCAAAGAGATGCTCTAGCACCTGGCCAGAGCATCTCTATGCCTCCTGCATGCCCCCGCTGCTCCAATATGCTACCTGTGTGGCAGGGGTGGATTCTCTGCCTGCTCCCCTCCCCCTGGTGCACAGTCCCTGCAGCAGCCAGGAGCAGGCCCTCGGGGTGCTCATGGCTTGCTGCAAGCAGAACCCTATGATGGTGCACAGTGCTGACCCAAGGGCTACATGTGGTGCACAGAGCTGGCCCAGTCTGCTGGCGTGCAACTTTAGATAGGACCAGGTTGATTCCTGCTGCCACTTGGGGCTCGCAGCACTGCAGGCAGAAACCGCATACTATTGGGCCAGGCTGGCTCCTGCCTCCATGTGGTCTGTGCACCATCAGGCCGGGCCAGCTCCTGCATTTACATGGCACATGGCTCCTGCCTGCAGTGCCAGGAGCCCCAGATGGTGGCAGGAGCTGATTTGATGTTGCCTGAAGGTGGACTGTGCCAGCTCTGCATGCCATGCATATCCCCCAGGTCTCAGGTGGCACTCTGTGCTGCCAGGGGGCTCTACCTGCAGTGGACCGTGAACACCCCAAGGGCCTGCTGCTGCCACCAGTGTTGGGGGCTGTGCTTTGTTGGGGGGCAGGTGGGCATGTGCTAGCCCCCCACA